TTTGAAATTTGGCATGTCACTTAAAAAACACGCCTTGGTGCATAGATTAGACTGTAATTAGGAAATGGTGGGAAAAGGCAGCAGTCTTTCTCAGTAGTTTATAGTCATCACCGTCTCTACGATTTTTATTGTAGATTCAGGTAAAAAGTGCCAGCCCAGCAAACAGCGCAGAGAACTCACCCGTCAACTCAGCAACAGCTTTAAAGAACCGGCCTTTATCTGTCATGGTCACGGGGAAGGGAACAGTCCTACAGAAAGCTAAGGTAACACACCAGTTGTACAGGAGAAAAGTCCATCTGGGACAGCCACTGCTTTTCCCTCCTGGCAGTGGAGCAGAGGGGCTGTGGTGGGAAGGGGTTGTGGGAGGTCTCATATCTTGGGAAGCACCCCCAACCAAGCACCATTCAGAGCACATCAGCCTGGTGTTCCTCCAGTCTTTTCACCTGGGTTTGCTTTGCCTGCAATTTAAATGAATAAATATGTGTTTTACTTCTAATGAAGAGATATCCCTGACCCACCCTGCAGCCAAAACCACAGAGGTACCAGCCGATCATGTTGATCCTGTACTCATTATGGCTACTGTGCCTTGCCAGATTTGCATTTTGACTAATTTACCTTTATTCCTTGGCAGGAATGGGAGAAAAAAGGAGCTAGTTAGAAGCACGTTTTTCAGAGATGGACTAGAGACTCGAATTGCCCATGCATGGCCCAGGGGATTCAACCATCTGTAGGTGGAGGTTGGGTGTGCAACACAACCACACCAAGCGCCTCCTCCATGTTGCACCAACTGCTCCAACGCAGCAATGGACTCAACAGCTGCCAAAACGAGTTATCCCAAATGATCTTGATCTTTTCCAGACAAATCCCAATCACCTAGCTAAAACAATAACAACCAGTGGCAATCCTATCATCAAAAGTCCTAACCCAGCTGATGTAAACAAGAATGTTACTGTACATAGGGGTGTTTTGTGTATTTCTACTCTGAAGGTTTATCAATGAGTTATTAAGGTTTCTATATTAGTGACTGTAGTGGGTTCAAAAGGGGCCTCTGCTATTCTTTATACCCTGGTGGGTTTCAACCTGTCCTGGTAAATTCCCGTCAACTAAAGTCTCACCTGCCTTGCTGCCAGTCATCACTCAGCTGCATTTCATCCAGCCTTCAGTCAAGAGGGATTCCCACACCCGAGCAATGCTTGAAGCTTGAATGAGAGAAGCTTATCCAGGGCATTTTAATCAGTGTCCAGGTGCATTCCAGCATTTGCTTACTCCTGCCAGCTGCAGATTTGCCAGAGTATTGAGCTGGTCACCTCATGCTGTAAGCTGTGTTACAGACTGGCAGCACTAAGAGCTCTGGGCAAAGAAGGTCTGCAAAGCAGATTCGGTTAATTTTCTTGAAGATCTCAGTCTCTAGCACCTGAGGAGTTTGCTCTGGGGGAAAAAGAANTTTGCAGGAGGAGCTATAGGCATTTAAATTCTTCCTTAGGAACTCGGTTCCCATAAAATGGAGATGCTCACCACCCAAACCTTGCTCTGGACCTCCGCCTGAGTCCTCAGCACCCAAACACACCACACACAAACATCCTGGTGGATTTTTGAAATTTGGCATGTCACTTAAAAAACACGCCTTGGTGCATAGATTAGACTGTAATTAGGAAATGGTGGGAAAAGGCAGCAGTCTTTCTCAGTAGTTTATAGTCATCACCGTCTCTACGATTTTTATTGTAGATTCAGGTAAAAAGTGCCAGCCCAGCAAACAGCGCAGAGAACTCACCCGTCAACTCAGCAACGGCTTTAAAGAACCGGCCTTTATCTGTCATGGTCACGGGGAAGGGAACAGTCCTACAGAAAGCTAAGGTAACACACCAGTTGTACAGGAGAAAAGTCCATCTGGGACAGCCACTGCTTTTCCCTCCTGGCAGTGGAGCAGAGGGGCTGTGGTGGGAAGGGGTTGTGGGAGGTCTCATATCTTGGGGAGCACCCCTGACCAAGCACCATTCAGAGCACATCAGCCTGGTGTTCCTCCAGTCTTTTCACCTGGGTTTGCTTTACCTGCAATTTAAATGAATAAATATCTGTTTTACTTATAATGAAGAGATATCCCTGACCCACCATGCAGCCAAAATCACAGAGGTACCAGACGATCATGTTGATCCTGTGCTCATTATGGCTACTGTGGCTTGCCAGATTTGCATTTTGACTAATTTGCCTTTATTCCTTGGCAGGAATGGGAGAAAAAAGGAGCTAGTTAGAAGCACGTTTTTCAGAGATGGACTAGAGACTCGAATTGCCCATGCATGGCCCAGGGGATTCAACCATCTGTAGGTGGAGGTTGGGTGTGCAACACAACCACACACCAAGCGCCTCCTCCATGTTGCACCAACTGCTCCAACGCAGCAATGGACTCAACAGCTGCCAAAACGAGTTATCCCAAATGATCTTGATCTTTTCCAGACAAATCCCAATCACGTAGCTAAAACAATAACAACCAGTGGCAATCCTTTCATCAAAAGTCCTAACCCAGCTGATGTAAACAAGAATGTTACTGTACATAGGGGTGTTTTGTGTATTTCTACTCTGAAGGTTTATCAATGAGTTATTAAGGTTTCTATATTAGTGACTGTAGTGGGTTCAAAAGGGGCCTCTGCTATTCTTTATACCCTGGTGGGTTTCAACCTGTCCTGGTAAATTCCAGTCAACTAAAGTCTCACCTGCCTTGCTGCCAGTCATCACTCAGCTGCATTTCATCCAGCCTTCAGTCAAGAGGGATTCCCAAACCCGAGCAATGCTTGAAGCTTGAATGAGAGAAGCTTATCCATGGCATTTTAATCAGTGTCCAGGTGCATTCCAGCATTTGCTTACTCCTGCCAGCTGCAGATTTGCCAGAGTATTGAGCTGGTCACCTCATGCTGTAAGCTGTGTTACAGACTGGCAGCGCTAAGAGCTCTGGGCAAAGAAGGTCTGCAAAGCAGATTCAGTTAATTTTCTTGAAGATCTCAGTCTCCAGCACCTGAGGAGTTTGCTCTGGGGGAAAAAAAAAAAAAAGAGAAATCATATTTGAAGGCCTGCTCAGCTCCTTTATTGGAAAGCTGGATCTCAGTGTATCCTTCAGGGCTTGTCCTCCCTCAGGAGAGGGGAGGTAGAGCTGTCCCCCCCCTGCCCCTGCTGCGATGGTCTCTGGTCCTTGCAGAGCTGCAGCTGTACAATCTGCTGAAGACATCCCTGTTCATCCCTGAGGACATCCCTGCACACAGACAGGGCTGAGCAGCCTGCCCCGCAGTGAGGCTGCACTGCCACGTCTCTGGTGAGCTGCTGGCCATCTTGGTGCTATCACTCTTATTTCCAAATTATTGAACACTGGACCCTGGCAGTGTGGCCCACAAAGCTCACTCCTCTCTGCCCCAGCCAAGCTTTCTAATGAAAATGTTGGATATTTGAAACTGCTAAACTTAGAGACATTGAAATTTGAAGGGGAGGTGAGTTGACACAAATCAATGCACACTCTCCTCCCTGTAGACTGCTGTCATCTCTGATGGCCTGGAGACACCTCTGCCTGTCTCCTCTGATGGTCTTTCAGCCCTGGAGCCCAGGCTCAGTAACTGGGTTGGCTGTACAGGGCGGGAGAGGTTTTCCAACCCTGCAAAGTTAAAGCAGCACCAGTTCCCTGGCTGAGTTGTTTATTCCTGGAGTTCTGTAGCTACACCAGTGGGCAGCACCCAGAGTAAGGGTAAAGGCAGACAGGGAAAATGTTTTACCTTCCTCACTCTTGAAAATCTTTGACAGGCCTGAGATGACCTCTAAAGAGATGTTTCTTCTTTGCACAAAGGCCAAACAGACGGGGGGGTTGCACAGAGCTGTGACATCTAGAGCTGGTGGTGGCACTGGGGTGAGTGAGAACGAGCCCAGAAGGGGTTCTGGACTTGCTGGTCATGGCCACAGAGCCAGGGTGCAACAAAGCACTTGGTCAGGCTATCCTGGAAGCAAAAAAGGAGACCTTGCTCACTTTTTTTTTTTTTTTTTAACTTTAAACGTGTCCACTGTGGTGCAGATGGAGAAATTGCCAATTCCAGATCTCAGGAGTAGTTGTATCAGCCCCAGCTATCAGGTTGTCCCAGTGAAAGGTTTTGCACATAGGAGAAGTTCATACAAATAAACCACTGAGTCTTCTGGTTCAGGACCATGGGGATTTCCCTCTCCACAGCACAGGAAGGCCACAGACACACGAAGCTTTTGTTTTGACCCATGATGAACTGGCAAGAGGCTACACCCTAAATATACATGTAGAACCATGCACTCACCATACATCCCCTGCCATCCTCCAGAAGTTGTCCAGGCATTTCAGAGTGGTACTGAGACAGCGATGGACGAGAGCAGCTCTGCTTTCCCCTCCACAGCCCAGTCAGCTTCAGTGATCCTGCTGGGATGTCTCCATCAGGGCATGGTAAACATAGGCAAGGCCTGAACAACACACTTCCCCCAAACAAGAAATGTTAAACAATGTCTCTGCCTCCCCATTGTTTTCCTAACTCAAGGAATTTCCTTTGTTGTAACTGTGACCTATAAAGTGGCGCTTTAGAGGGTTTTATAATAAAATGTCGAGTATATTATGTTACCGGTGTTTTTCTTTGTAACGTGGCTTGTCCCTGCTCTACTTTTCACTAGATTTCAAGTATATAAAACCCTGACACTATTAGTTCCTATGAAGTTCCTTCTGCAGTGGACTATAGCTTAAATAATTTATTCCTCTGTGACTGCAACATGAAGCAAAACAATTTTCAAAGATCTAACACAATGAAAAACAGCAGTTACCTCGACAATTTGTATGAATATATGTAATGGATTCCTGCCTGTATCTCTGAAGGCAGCCGTTTTGCACAGAACCAGCAGTGGAAAATGTTTCCACTACCTTCCTCTGGCCACTAGATAGCAACTGTGTGCAGGCTTAGCGCCTGCTGCAGTCACTGAGAAGCAGGGGAAAACCAGGATGGGCTTTAGCTGGAAAGGAAGAAAAAAAAAAAGTTAGTAAAGAAAGTGGTTTAGGCCAGTCTTCGGACACCAGACACCTCTGTGAAATACCTTTCGGTGGCTGTACCACCACTAGCTCCACTTCTGCAGTGCTATGGCACAAAATCCTGGGGAAGGTCTCCCCTAGCCCACCCACTGACACAAACCTGCCAAGGAGGCTGTGTCCTGTCAGCCTCTGAGCCCAGGAATCCCCAGAGAACAACTCCATTTAGGGTGGCTGGCTTTGTGCACTCCGTGGGCAGCAGCAGCAGTTGCGTTTTGTCCTTCCCCAGCAGTGCTGCCTATCGCCTGTGGCTGCTTTAGAACACCTGGGTATGAGCTCCAGCTGATAAAGTCACTGCTTTGTTAGTCATTCCCACTGTAATTCTCACCTGTGCACAATGCAGCCAGGCCACTTGGGGCCTGCAGTGTGTCTCATGCAGAAGCCCATACCCTTCTGGAGAGAAAACTGCTGCTACAAACCCTTTTTCTTAGTGAGTTTCTCACTTAGGTACCTCCACAGTTCCTGCTGTGGGTACGTGGAGCGACCACGTAGGAGCTCCTGGGGATTCCTGATGAGCACATCAAGGTTGCCAGTGGACACACTAATTTTCAACCAAGACAGAAGTGCCAGATTTTAAAGGAAGAAAAAAAAAAAAAATCTCATATTGGTGGAGAAGTTGGCCTGAACCTGAATGTTTATGTAAGTTGTCCTGGCTATGAATCAAATTAATTTACTTCAACTGAACAGAGTAAGATTGCAGGGGTTTTCCAAGCTGAAAAGGCCAGTTAGCTTACAGTACAGGTGCTGTACAAGTTTACTTCCCACAAACAGACATGGTTTTGCTTGCTGAGGGAAAGTGGGACTAAAGGGGTGCAATCCATGAAACTTACTTAAATCCCATGTTTTTAAAAGGAGAAACGGGCTCTCTCCTGAAGCCAGCACATGACCCATGATCAGCCAAGGCTCACCCAGCAGTCCTACAGAGTGAGAGTAATTCATGGCTCTGTTAGTAACAGCAGCCCAGACATCTAATGACAACCTGGCACAGACAGCATCCTCTGCACTGCCCTGATGCCAGACAGGATTAGTGCTGGCTTTGCAGGGACCCCACCTCCTCAGTGCCCTTGCCAGCCTCAAACATTGACCCAGCCTCAAGGGAATGAGCTACCATCAGGTGAAGTCTCATTAAATATTTCTGATTCAATCGAAGCAAATCTGAGAGAATGAATTTAATAAGGAATCATGTCAGAGATCCAAGCCACTTACCTACTTACTCTTAATTAAAATTTCTAAGAGAAAGGGCCTAGAAATTAGCCAGGATTTTTTAACTCAAACTTTTAAAAAGAAAATAAAAACAGCTCCAGCAACTGCTCAGTGGTGTCCTGCTTGCCTGTGGGATTAGCAGGTCTCTCAAAGACCATCCCATATATCTTAATCTGCTATCAGCCTGGCTTTTCCCATCTTCTCCAAAGCTCCACCACCTTCTTACCTTGCAAAGTGCTTTGTCCCATACAAAAGGGAGAGCTGGTGGGTGCTGCCATTGCCAGAGCATCCATCTGAGGATCCATCCAAGGCTTCAGTGATCAGTCACGTTCAGGAGAAAAGTCACAGTCACAGCACCTGTAGATCCCTGACACATGGGGATCCCTGGGGCACTCTGGATACTGAGATGTTCCCATTAAAATCTTGTCTCCAGCATGAGATTTTTTCAGTCTGTGATTCCTGAATCCTGAAAGATGTCTTTGTGTATCTGTGCTCAAAACAGCAGGATGCTAAAAACACAGTTTCCCCAACTCAGGACCACAGCAAGCATACTTTGTCCCAAGTAAAGCCCACACACACCTCAAACATACTTACTAGCTGTGCACTGAAATAAAGAACTCACAAACAAAGACTACATCACAACACATTTGCCACGAGGCAAAGTGCTCAGCAGCACTGTACAAACTATCCTGCAAGCAACACAAGGAAATGGCTTTAGACACTTGTACAGGGGGCAGGTAAGCACATCCCAGCTCCAGGGCTGCGTGCTGGACAAGGTAAATGCGCTGCTGTTTGGGAGGGCAGACTGATCTCACAGAGAACAAACGCCTGTGAGGAGAGAACTAACGATGCTGTTAGACAAACAATGGCAGAGAAACCCCCAGGGAGCTGCAAAGCCCCCAGGACAGCGTGGGTGAGAAGTGGGGTCCCTCGGACCCTCCACACAGCACAGGACATGCAGGGGGGCCGGGGAGACTTTTCAGAGCAGTCTGAATAGGCAGCTCCACAGGCCCTTCTGCACCATAAAACACGAGCCACGTCTTTGGTGTCAGCTGAGGGTCTGATCTAGCCCATTCTCCCCACGAGAAGAGAAGACTGACAGTTTAACAACAGAGGCAATGCTGAGCTACAGCCATGCCTAAGTAACATTAATAGATTACATTCTCTTTGTATCCCAAATGTCAGTCCTTCAACTAAGCCTCTATTCTGCTGTGCCTTAGGACACAGACAACCTACTGAAGTGACAGTGAAAAGAAAGGAAATTCTCCTTTCTCCTAGCCTGGTTTCTCCCACAAGGCATGACAGTGCTGCTCCTGTCTCAGTGCCAGCTTTTATCCCTGAGAGTGCTTTCAGACCATTCTTCTTTGGACAACAAACCTGCAGAGCAATTTGTGTCTCTCTTTGTCCATCTAATGTTACTATTCAAACATGGGGCCAGGACATCTGGGTGAGGGGATTTTTCTTCCTCCGTGAACAACACACGGTATTCTCTTGAGCACTGGCAGTCACAGCCTCCCTCCAGACCTGCTCCTGCTCTCCTGATGTGACAGACACCATGGGAAAGGCAGCAGGAACACAACACTGGGAACTCTGGGGTCAGGGGGAGCAGTTATGCAGATTTTACAGTTTCATGGGCAAATTGATCACAAGGTACAGTGAGGCTGATGCTCCAAAGCATGCAGGCCTGTGGCCAAACTGTCTCTGGAGACATGTGAACCATCACAGCCCACCAGAGACCACTGCAGAGATCACTGCTGTGCTAGGAACAAGATCAGCTTAAAACAATGAGGGGAGGCAGGAATTCAGTTATGCTCATCTGTCCAGGTTCAGGCCAGGACAAGCAGATTTCTCCTCATCCATCTCCAAAAGGAGAGCAAAGCGACATGGCAAAGCTCTGAGCCATGGAAACAGAACCAAAAAGGTGAGACTTGACCTCTTGGGATAGGCAAAAAAGAAGAAATAAGTATAGACCAGCATAGGAGAGAGCAAAGAGGTGGCCAGCAGGAAAAGGAAGAAAAAGGTGGGTGAGATCCTGGGAGTGAGGTCCAGGCCCCTTCCTCCTCTGGCTCACTCCCAGCACACTGCAAAGGCACTCATGAGACTTCCCTGGTCTGGTCCCTCCAGGTTAGCCTGTGGCTGGCAGACATAAGTGCTCCTGGAAGGGAAGGAATGGAGTTAAACCTCACAACAGGCAGATAAAGATCCAAGACCAAAAGATTGGTTCAAATCATGGTTCCATCCAGAACCTAAACAGACCAGATTTTTGTTGCACACACCCCCTCACTTGGTGTGTTTGCAGCACAGGTAACTGGATCTGACCTGGGTCAAATCTAAAAGAAAAGCAGTCAACACACCTACTAAAACCCAGCAACACACACTGAGTGCCAAAGCTCTGCTTTGGAGTTGCACCAATCACTAAATGCTCTTTAAAACCTCTCCTGGTTAAAAATAGGCAGCTACAAAACGCCCATGAAGATAAACTGTATTCAATCTCTCCAAATAAATTTAGAGAAGAAAGCAGCATGGACAACTTCTGGAACAGAACAGAGGCTTGTAATCAGTTCTCCTTCCTCTTCTTCGTCTTCCTGCGTGTAACAAGCCATTCACTCCAGCATCTGGCTTGCAAGTGTGTAATCTGTGTTATACCCCTTCAGCAGGAGCTCCAGAATTGCTCAGACTTCTACATATTTTGAGACAAGCTCAAAGGTCTCTCAAAATCTGTTTAAAAAACCAATCCCATGGCCCTAGGACCTGGATGAGGAAATGTAAAATTCCAGAAAAAAAAAAACCTTCGACACAAATATTTACTTCAATTATAAAAGAAAGAGAGCACTGGGAAGCCCAGTTTGTGCAATGCAGGAACTGGGAATGGCCTCAGCACAGTCCCTGTGCTGCAGCAGCTCCATCACTGCCAAGGACAGTGGTGGCTTGCTGGATTGTGCCTGTGAGTGGCAGTAAGTATTCCTGGAGGGAGAACTGGAGCGCTTGGCACATCTGTGTCAGTGTCTCTGATCCAGGTGCCTTTTGGTGTGCTGGAAGGCTCTGGAGAAGCGCTGCAAAACCCTGGGACTCCACTGCACATGGGAATGTGGAGGAAGAACTGGAGATCTTGGAGAGTCACCCCGGAGAACCCCTGTTGCAGAAGAGAAGCACAGATGTGGGATAAGGGCTTTAGGACTAAGGGATAGGGTCATGCTCAGTCCGTGACAACCAAACAAGCATTCTCTTGGTCTTAGCTGACAGGTGTTAGAGGTCACAGGCTGGAATTCAGAACTGCTGGGCTCAGGCAAAAAGCAAAATATTGGAGAAGGGGGAAACCCACCTAAATTGAGA